GAATCTTTTGACTAGGGGTCTGACTAGAGAACCAAACAATCTAGTACTACGGAAGTCAGTTGGGGTCCAAAGAATTCCTTCTGTAACCGGATATTGTTAACGCTCTCTTCGGAGTTCACTGTGGTTGAAAGCTAAATCTTAAAAAGAGAATCTTGGTTAAAAGTTATATTTCGGAATAAGTTCTGTGCTCTTCCTGTGCAACATGTTCACTTAGGGAAGTGATTATGGGAATAAAAGTTGAGAATTGGTTGAAAGCAAAATAATTTTAATACAAAATAAATCAGGGGTATGTGAATCTCACCCGTATACTCATATAAATGTGTCGAACGAATGAGTTGAATGTTGATGGATGTCCGGTATTCCTATGTTTTATCGATCAAATACCCTTCTTAGTCATGATCAGAGTTTATTCTAGTTATGCTAACCCGTCCAGAGTGTAACTCCTGTGATTAAGAAAGAAGTTATTGTTGCCACACGGTGATGTTGCCGGAGAAAAGTGCTTGTTCATAGACCGGCAAAGCCATGTGTTATATGCAAGTCACAAAGGAGTGATGGTGGATCGTGTTCAACTCACCCTGTGGTTGAAAAAGGACCACTGTGGGTTAGGTTTGAACAACAGGCACTTTCGCACTTGACATACATACAGTTTTATTTGTGGAAGCACGAGTAGAGTACTCTGGATCCAGTCTTAATTGCTCAATCATGTAAATCGGCCAAAATACCAGACTTCGCTGTTGGCTGAAGTCCGTTAGAACCAACTGGTATTTTAAACAACAAATATTAGATTCGTTAGTGTCAAAACTTTGAGGCAGTTCAATGGAAAGCATGTAACCTTGTGGCAACACTGGGAAACTATATTAAATATGCGAACAATCCATTGAGCCTTTATGGGTTTTTTTTTAATGAGCATTGGATTTTCGTTGGTTATATTGTCTGTATTACTCAGTTTGTGTTCATGAAATTTTTCGTGTTTATTTTGATATTTCTGCTGACTCCTCTCTCTCACTTTTTTTTCCCATTTAATACCTCAAGTATTGTTATTTATCAAATTTTTATATGGGCGCTTATATTTCAAGTGGTAGTGCTGCTGTTAAGTTTTTTTGTTTTGTTTTGTTTACGAGTGTTTTTTCCATTTGAGCAGAAATCCTTGTGTGTCAGCTTAAATATGTATACAAGGCAATGTGCTGTATGTTTGAACATATGTAAGTATATAAATAGCTTATTTACTTAGTATTGTACTATATACATACATAAATGTTATATACATACATAGGTACATACTACAAAATACTTTATCATGATGTTGACAAACCCTTATACATTTCATAGAATATTCTGTTTTCGTTATTTCGTTTTTATTCCTTTTTACTACAATATTCTTCCTACACTCGCATACAAATAAAAAAACCCCAACAATACATTTCTTTTGTACGAAGTGCTGAGGATACACTTCTGGTCGGCCTGTGTGACGTCGTCTGTTTGGTTTGATAATTAAATTTCAAAATTGAATTAATATTTCTACGTACAACACACGCAGCTTCTCTAAATGTTGTTGTATTTATGTACATACATATAAAAGTATCTATGTACATAAATACATATTTGTCTGTCCCTTTGTATCTTTTACTCAATGCTTTTAGGGTGTTCATTTATTCCCTGTCTGCGTTTGTTTGTATGTATGTATTTGCTTTTAAAATTATGAACTGAATTATTTATATGGTGTTCTTGATGTTGATGTTGCTGTTGTTTTTGTTCATGTTCAATATTCAAGAGACATTAATATTCTTTCACGCTTCAATGATTTCCATTACCACGTACTATTCGGTTTTGTAAGTGTTCACTGTTTTATGTATTCGTTCGTACATAATCATACAGATACATACACTCACACATACATGCATATGTTCATAGATAACGTTATAAATAAGGATGTAGTATGTACTAAACATGTTGGATAGATGGTTAGATAGATTGAACTAACGACTGACTTTCTTGGATTGATGTTTAATAATGTTGAAGATACAATGATTAACATTTTACTGTAATTTAATGTTTAAGCTTGATTGTATTGTATCTAATTTTGTAGAAATGTGAGAAACTTACTTAGATACTCTGCTAGCATTGACGTTAATAATTACAGTTTCTTGGTGAATTTATTGTTGCTGTTGTTGTACTGTGCAGTTAGAGTCGTGTAGATGTTATTGCAGCTTGTTTTTAATGTTCGAATTTTCATTAGGGGAGTAACCAAACAAATTTTAAAGAGTCTCAATAAAATTGGAGTTTGTTACAAAAATTACTATACATTTTTGATTCTTTATAATTTTATAACAAAAAAAAAAAAAATCTGTTATCCAATGCTTTTTTTAAAATGCTTAAGTGACTACTTTAAGATTAACTAAATTACCTTTTTAGTTTGTGAACTTCCAATATATATTTTTTGAAACCACCCTAATTTACACATATTTTTTACTGCGTTAGTGTTTGTTTGCATGCTCTCAAATATCATTAAGGCCAGCTAACGATGTAGAGTTGCCAATGTTTACTAAAATAAAGTTTTGGTATCGAATAACCATTTTCTATATACAACTATGGAGACACTACTGTTAATTTTAAAATACCGTTACCCACATAAACCAAAATACCGTTACGGAAGTAAAGGAAGTCAGCGTTACCGTTACCTCTTCATCGATTCGAAACGGTGATATAATTTAGTAGAAATTTGCATTAACTATTGAACCACCAAAAGCCTATTGGAACTAAAAAAAAACTCCCACATTGTTTTTATCTCCAACATTTTGAGTTATTTAAAGAAGCTGACGATATGACTAAACTGCGTTTAGAAAGTTTTGGAGGTCTCTTCATGCATACTGGAAAAACACTTTCGGAAAATAATCCGAAATCTCAACAGTACTTTAAGTACGCATCAATGGTCCACCGAGGAGAATAGAAAAGGATGTTTTTGTTTCTCACTTACAAATGGCAAAATTTTCGCAATTTTCGATGACTTTGACATACATGTGAGAGGACCACGGCTCTCCAATCGCTCCAGTTGCTGTTTTTCATGAAAATGAGCGCTCAACAGGATTTGATGTAGTATACATCCTCCTATCAACGTAAATTAACTTACACTTAACCAAACTAGCTTTCTCTCCCATCCGTGTCATATTCCTTACATTAATCACAACACATTTAGTACAGTCTTTTATAAAACGTCCCATATAAAAATTTTGAAACTTCTGTCCTTAGGCTATGTCACAGATCTAAGTATTTCATAGCCTTTGGCAACCCTCATTAACTTTTCTAACTACAGTTCATCTGTGAACATTGCCATTTACACAAGTACAAGTAAACACACTAACTAACATATGTACGTTAATACTACCCAGCAATATTTCAAGGAGTCGAAGTAATTTTTCCAAATGTCTAATTACTTCACCGACTCGAATGCTTGAATCATTGAACACTTTTGTTGTTTTTAAGATACAGAGAAAACAAATTGTCACTTAAGTGTCCTCAAGTAATCTAAAAGGGGAAATCAATCAGTCACTTTAGTGACCCTAAGTAATCTAATGCGGGGACACTTTTATGAAATTCAATCGAAAGTAGTCATTTAACCCAATATAATTAATATAATAGATTGGCTGTAGTCTGTATAGGGGCCTTGAAATTTTGATTTTCATTTTAATAATTGTCCTTGATAAAATCAATAGTTCGGGACAGCCACCCCGAACTACAGGGTATTCAGTTTAGTATTAGTTTTTGTTTATCGCTCGCTGCATACAGCGTAATTTCAAATGGGAATATGAAGTAGACAACAACGACAACAAAAACTGAGGGAAAAAACTGCTTGTGAATGCATGAAGTTAATGGTACAATTTCAGTTTTTTTGTGGATTTTCTTTTAGTCTCCATATTCGTAAAATAAAATACGAAATATCGTCGATATATTCCAGAAACAACAAAATTTCTGTAGTATTTTGGAAAATAAATCTAAAATAAAAACAGTAGATTTAAAAAAGTAAATGCTAGTGGCAGAGTCAGTCAGTAAGTTGTTAAAATGAGTGAGTGAATGAATGAATGAATGGGTTGGTTGAACGAATGGATCGATGGTAGGCAGACTAAGTGGTTGGTTAGGTGTATAAAACATTAAAAGTTTGAAAATGAGAAAAAACCCACCACCATATTTCTTACAAGCACTGAACAAAGTTCTAATCTTTTAAAATAAACAAAAAAGGGAACGAATCAACAATTATTCCAAAATTGTTCGTTCATATATAGAAGAAGATATAGTATGATGTAGTGTATAAAATAATGACAAGTTCGGGTTCGTTTTGTATCTGAAGTTGGAGTGATTTTTTCTTTTGGCGCGGCTGCTGATGATGCTCTCTTACCCATAAGGTTTATGTTTAGTTTTGTGTGCTTTTGTTGTTGGAGTTTTTTTTTATTTTTTGATGATGACGATAATGATTACGTTTGCGATGATGTTCCTTGTCTACGTCATTGTTAGTTGTCTGTATGTGTGTGCGTAAGTGTGTATTATTGTTATTTCCGGTTAAGGCATTTTTCATGTTTTCTTTTGTTATTGTTGTATTTTAAGCGGGATTTCTTTTTTTTTTCATTTCTCTGCTGTAACCATCTCAAATTCTTTCCCTTTTAGCATTTTCTTTTTTTTCCTCCATACTGTTGTTGTAGCTTTGTTTTTGTTGGGTTTTTGGGAAAGACGATACACGTTGCTTTAATGTTCGGGCAACATTTGTCGCCTGGATGCACACACACGCACATAAATCATCGAATTTAATCATCAGTAAACAGCATCGAAGACTATAGACATTTGAAATGAAGACATTTCCATTTAAACGCCGATCTGCTGGGGATTTCTAACAGATTAAACCTAAAGCTGTTGGAATATGAAATATACATATGTGTGTGTAATAATAAAACACATAGGGATTTTTTTATAAAAATATTTTGGTTTTATTTTAATGATATTTCATTCTTTTCTTTAATATATGTATATTGAATAATTCAATTGTTTTCCTTAAAACTTAATCTTAAATATTAGAATAATAAAATTTCATTCTTTAAATATTTACAGACATTTTGTACACTTCTGTTGCTATTTACATTAATAATACTTTTGTTTTTTCAACCTTAATTAATAAAATTTAGTAAAATGAAACTAAAATTGTTTTCAAATAAACTGCTGAACTTATTAAACTGAAACAATTGTTAAAATAATCAAATGTATTTTAAAAACAAAAACAATATCTTTTTTTTTTTAAATAAATAACACTTACATACAAAATAATTTTAAAATTAAGGAAACATTTTTGTATTTGAATAAATTTTAAATAAGTGTTTTCAAAGGAATTTGATTCCTTTTTTTTTTGTAGCTTATATTCAAGTTCAAGTTTTCCCAAATTGTTGTTGTTTTGTTTGGGAAATAACTTCACTTTGTTTTTGCAGCTTGAAAGTCTTTTGTGGGATTTGTTATGGCTGTAGCTGAAACGGAGTTGGGGGGATTATTGGGGCCGGTTAGTGATTTGGGACTAGACAATTTCTTGGTGCTTTGCATTGGTTTTGTTGGATGTTGCTGCTGTTGTTGAGGTTGTGTAAGCATCTCGGCGGGGGGTTTATTGGCATCCATGCTGTTCTTTAATTTTTGCATGTATTCGGAGAACGCCTCGTTGCCAGCTCTCTGCATGCGTGATAACTGATCCATGATGTAAGCCTGTTGGTAGTTGTACATGGTGGGATTGAATTGGCCCAATTGTGCAGCAGCAGCCGCATTGGCAGCATATGGATAAAATATATTTGATTGATTAGCAACGGCCGCTTGAACTTGAGCCCTCAATAGATTTTCCTTGAGCAATTTACTTAACTCCGCTTGGCCGGCAGCAGCATTTTGACAGGCAGCCGCAGCTGCCAAGTGTGGAGGTAGCATTGATTGCATGGGATGTGTAAGACCAGGTGGAAGGGTGGGTGGTAGCGTTGGCATATTTGGGGTTGGAGACAACTTACTTGCATTGTTGGCATTTAAAACTGGCGGTGAAGTTGTTTTGCTGTTATTGCTTTTTGAAGTTTGTGGCGATTTTGTTGGGGCTTTGAGGCCATTGTGAGCAGCATTTGGAGCTTGGGGCTGTTGTTTGCTTGTTGCTCCGGCAGCATGTGCTCCAGGGGATTTTTTACAAGGTTGTACCTTTTTGTTGTTGGAATGTATTTTGACATTAATGCCGGTGGGTGAAGAGTAAGTGCCAATGACATTACCCGTGTTATTGGTCGACTTCGTTGGATTCACCTCGGGCTGTGTATTAATAGCTGCAATTTGACGGGGTAATATGTGTCTGAACTTTTTGCTGGCCGAGTTGTCGCCTCCATTGGGTGATTTTTGTTCGGTTAGTGAAGGATTTGGACGTTTCTCGGGGCTTGGAGTCTTCTTGTCATTTGCATTGATGGGAGACTTTTGAGGGTTGGCCGGAGATTTGTTGTTTGCTGCCGCCACAGGGGATTTATTAGAAACATTTTGATTCTTTGTCAATAAGTTTATGTTAGGGGGCATGTTATTTGAAGACGTCTTATGATTTACCAAGTTTTGTGGTACTGCTGCAGGAGGAGATTGTTTAGTGTTGTTTCCATTTTGTTGGGGTGAATTGTTGTTCTGTTTTACTGTGTTTAGAGGTGGTGTTGCTACCCTCCTAACTGGCGGATTAGGGAAAAGAGAATTGTTTGTGTTCTGAATTGGAGGCGATAGGCGCTTGGTATCCGTGTTATCGGCTGTCTGATCAGGCAATTTGAGAATCTCTATATAGTTGTTTACTGGACTCTTGTGTTTGGGATATGTAGCACCATTGCATGAAGTTTCTCCGTCTTCTCGCGTAATTGTAATGGACAGCGAAGAGGGTATGTTGATATTACAGGAATTCAACAAAGACTTAACCTTCAATTGCTTTTCGGGAGGATCTTCAACTGGACTTGGACTTCTGGCAAAGGAATAGACACGCTTAGGTGCTTGAGATTCACTGCGATTGTTAGTCAAATTCGTAGGATTGTTATTGCTATTGTTGCCACTGGAGTTTGTATCCTTTTTAACTGGTGGGCTGGGGAAGAGGCTAGACATTTGATTGTTTGAGCCTAACACATTTTGTAAGTACGAACTACCAGTGTTACTTGGTTTTGGGGTGTATTTGTATGTGGGCATGGTAGGAATGTTGTAATTAGGCACATATTGAGGTGAGCTAGGCGAGTAGATGGGTGAATTTGGTGTGTACATGGGCGTACGGCAACCAGGTGGCACTTCGTTACCCTTTGATTTGGAGGCATTGAATAAGGCCAAGTTCAAATAACTGTTATTTTTGCTACCAGCTCCCGACTTAGCAGACGAAGATGAAGAGGAAACATTGACATTGTTTCTGGCATTTGAAGTAGCATTTGTAGGATTTGGAGTTTTCGGGGGAGGTGCTGGCATAGATGGAGGCCCCATTACAGGGGCAGCATCAGTTTTAGGTCCATATACTTTAGAAGAGACAGGTTCCTTTGGAATTGTTTTGATCTCTGTGCCAGCATCTTTTAGAATCTTATTGACATCGCTGGGTATATTAGCGAATGGATTAATCCGTGGAGTTTTAGGCAAAATTGGTTGGAATCTTTTAGCAATGGGTGTACGACTGCCAGGAGCCGCCAGTTGTATGCCAGTATTGCCACCATGCATTGGATGTGGTGTTAACGAGCCAGGTGGAGCTGCAGTTACTTTCGATTGTTGTGATTTCTGTAACTTCTTGGGTAAAGCTGCGGGTGGTTTCATGGCTGTTACTGCGGGAGGTGGAGGCATTAAGGATTTGTTGGTGGAAGGCGACGAGGGCTTAGTATTCACTATTGGAGGCAATTTGATTTTAAAATCTTCTGTTGCCAATGGTGGTGATAATTTGGGTTTCTTTACAACAGCTTTAACAGGCTCTTTGCTTTTGCGTTTCGAAGACGAAGATATTTGCAAAGGATCCTTGGCAATAGTTTTATTTACAATACTGTGGGTAAATTCTTTGAGTGAAGTTTTGGAAGGTTTTGTTTCCAATTTCTCGGTTTTTATGTTTTTAGTGGGTGTCAAAGCGAAGGATTTCAAAAATTGCGATTTCTTATCCTCTTCTTCTAAAGGGCTGGGTAAATTTGTTTTTGCTAAAGGACTAATGCGTTCTGCCTTAATGGTGAGTGGAGGCACTGTTAGAGGGCTGGGAGTCTTGCTCTTACGCTCACTATGAGGTGAAGATTTTGGAGAAGACTTTGGACTACTATCTTTGTCCTTTTTAGTCTTAACTTTCCATTCTTTTTCGGGCTTAACAGGCTTAACTATCTCCTTGCGCTCGGGATCTGACATGTTGATAATTGTAACACTATTTTGTTTTGACAGATCTATTTTAAGCTTAATATTTTCCACTTTACGTTCGTCTTTCTGTGACGAAGTGGAAGGAGAAGTTTTGTGATTGTCTTTTTTCTCCTTCATCACTTTAACACGAGCCGGTGAATTGACATCGCTATAAGACGACTTATCCTTTACAGCTTTATTCACCAGGGTAATTTTCAGCTTATCGGTAAGAGAAGTCTCATGCGAACTAATCGAAGGACTTTGAGGTTGTACAATTTCAAATTGTTTTTGTTCTGGCACCGATGGTGGGGGGATTTCTGTGGTAGAGGATACTTCTGACTCATTTTCTTGCTTGATTTCCTCGGGCTCAAGTATTTTATTACTGCTAACCGGGGCCGCTAGGGAGGGTGTGGGCTCATGCACTATACACATGGCTTGGGAATGTAATTTTGGTTCCTCCACTACAGGCACAATTTCTTTCTTAGGCTGCGTTAAGAGATTTTTCTTAACTCTTATCAAGGGTTTCGGCGATTGTTTGACGCGGAAATAAAAACGCATGGGAGCATCTCTTTTCCACGTGTATATATAGGCTACATCCATAAGGGTGTAATGATCAAGTAAAACTATAGTTTTCACTTTATACATGATATCAATGGTAAAACGATTGCAATTAATTTCGAATTTACCATAGACTAACTTTTTCAAATGGGCTACGGTACACATGGCCGGGCACTGGAGATAACGGGGTTTTAATAATTCACTATATTCAGCGTTCGATTTCATGTGCTCACTAATGGGGAAAACGAAAAGAGAAAAAGAAAAGGGAAGAGCAAAAGTTAGTAAAAAGGTTTTTATAGTTTGGAATAGTTAGATGATATACTCAAAGAAGGGGAAAGGCTAAAATACTTACTCTATATCCGCATATTCCAAAGAGATGGACATATAATCCGAGGGACTGAATATTAAATGTTCAGTATCGTCACCTCTTTGTTCTGGTGTGGCTAAGGCGGCTTCTTCTGGACGATCTTTATAAAAGGCACGCTTGCGCATTAATTCCTTTTCATATAGACCCGGCACCAGTTTATAAACAATAGCTTGCAATGTTGTATCGGGCCTAAAATGATAAAAAGGAAAAATAGAATTAGATTTAATCCAAACCTTTGTTTAAATTGAAATTTTGAGAGTAAGTTGCAAAAACCATTTATGCATTTTTCAAATGGTTCATTAAAGCGTAAAACATGACTCTTAACAAATTGAAAATGTAAAGACGGAGCTAGAAATGTGTGTGTCTAACTAAGCAGGTAATAATAACATTAGCATGAAATACAAACAACAACAACAATACTATATATATTTTAAAAGTCTGTATAAGTGTCCGTCCGTTTAACTATTTGGCTGGCTGCCGGTCTTTCTGCTCTATCTTTTTGTATCAATATGTGTTGTGACTTGAAAGTTTGTATAAATAGTAGACGACGTGTAATGAAATGTTGACGCAGATGTTTTATTATAAGGCTCATTACTTAGCACGCTGTTTGCATTCTGGCAAACAGCAAATACAACATAACACCACTAAAACTACACCTAGGCCTCGTATTACAAAAATTCTTAGACTATTATTATTTTGATAAATCGTATCGAATGTGTTTAAATGTGTTACGAGGGATGAATGTTTGTATCGGGTTTGTGCGTGTGTTTTTTCTTGTCTTTCACTCTGTGTATTTTTTCTTTTTATATTCAGGGGTTTAATGTCTCTGTTGGTTGTTGTAGTTGTTGTCTTGTTTGTCATGGCTTTAAGATGTTGTTGTTATTTTATTAGGAATTTTATTAATTTTAAGTTCTTTTCTTTAGTTATTGTTGTTGTTGTATATTAAAAACAGACATTTGAAGAAGAAATAAATTTAGATTTTTCAATTGCCGTCGGCAAGTACTTTCAGATAAGAATTTTTTTATTATTTTTTGTAGTTTTAAGACAATCTTTATTTTTTTGGAAATACTTACTTTATATTGGGTTTTGCGGTATTTATCATCATTTCACAACGCGGACAATACTGCTCCGTTCTCAAGTGTTTGATTAAACAACTATGGCAAACTGGAATTAAAAAAAGTGGAAAAAAATTCATAAATATAATAAAAAAATCTTTTCATATTTCAACAACTATTTTTATTGTCTAAAAATTGTGTTAGTGAAAAAGGACACCTTTTAGAGGCTTAACGCACAGAATCCTTTTGCAATTGTTTTTCATTTACTTAACATTTCAACCCCCTTTTTTTGATTTATACTTAAATACATTTTCATATTAAAATAATATTTTATTATTTGACATGTAATATTTGCAATAAGGCGAAAAATCCCTTTCTCACATGGGAAAGGCTTTGAACAAACATGGCTAGGTAGAAAAACTGTAAAAATGAGATATTTTACCCATACTTTGGTTACGTAGGAAATGCGAGTCAAAAATCATTTTAGTATTTTCTTTAAATTTGATAAAATGGACTCTTGAGACATTTAATATTGATATTGGTACATATAACGCTAAATTAGCCTTAGTCTCTAATTATTCCCTCAATTAGAATTTTGTTCTTGAAGTTGTAAAGTCTTTGAATCTTCCCTAGTTTGGAATACAACGCCTGTTAAACGAAAAGAAATCAAAATATAACTTCAACTGAAGGTGACACCAAATATAAATTCAAGGTTGAGCGAGTGAAAAAAACGTCAGACGTCCTTGTTCTATTTACACTACAGCATTGCGCCTCAAGGTATGCAAAGTAATCAAGGTTGTGCAATGTAATGTGAAATGAGACTAAAAGCATAATAAATAATAATAAACAAAAACTACTTACATGAATGCAAACACTCCACAATAGTTGTGGCGTCAATCAAGTAACCAAAACACAGGCTGCAAATGATGTGCGAATTAACGGAACTCATTAAAATGGGTCGTTGGCGCATTGCCGACAATTGCAAATCATTGTTCTCCATTTCATCTTGGCCATTATCATTGGCCAACAACTGATGATGTTGTTGATCGTTTGACTCTAATTCGGTTTTAATGACAGTATCACAGGATTGATTGGATTCGTTTTTAATGCTTTTGTTGTCATTATTACTGTTGCTGCTGCTGCTGTCACATTGAGATGTTATGACATTCTTGGCATTAGAGCTTGACGAGGAGCAGGAATAAGAGGAAGATGATGAGGTTGAAGAGGCTGATGATGACATTTCTTTCAATTGTTGACGATTTTGTGTTTTTGTTTTATTGACATTTGTTACAGCAGCCGCATTGTTATTGTTATTACTGTTGTTGCTGCTGTTTTTGTTTTGCTGTTCCATTTGCTTGTATGTTGTATTGGAATTCGCCATGTTTGTTGCTGTTATTGTTGCCGTTTTTAGTTTTACTGGCAAAGTTGAAATGGTTGTTGTTGCTTCTGCCACTTTAGTCGTTGCAGTTGTTTGTGTTTTTGAGGCAGAATTTGTCACAGGTAGCGGTACAGGGGACATAATTTGTTGTTTTTTTTTTTTTTTTTGTTATGTCTTCCTTACTTTGGGTTTCTTTTTTTTGCTCTTTTGTTTTGTTTTAGGCCCACAAAAAGTAATTTGATATTTTTAAGGCTGAAATATTAGTTTTGTAAAGAAATTTTAGATTTATTTGCTTAATTTTGTTATAAAAAAACAGATTATAAAAGAAATAAAGAAATAATATGATAAAAGTTAGTGTAATAGGAAAGAATAGGGACTATATGAGATTAACAAGGCTAATTTTTGTAATTAAACTTCAAAATTGTGGCTTTTTTATTATAAAATTTTATTAGCTTTAGGTTTTTTTTAATTTTATACACATTTATAACAAAAAATACTTTAATAAATTTAATAGGTCTTTAAAACGGAGAGTTGCCATGTTTTTATTAGTGGTTATTATTCCTATAGGTGATTTTAATATCTCCTTTTTTGTTAAATAATAGACTAAAATCTCCAAAATTTGCTTTCTACTAGATTTGTTTTTTTAAATTATTTGGAAAATCTTATATAATTTCAATTGGTTGGACTTGGTGATATATAAAGGCTTTAGAAAGTAAACATTTGCTAGTTGTTTTGATATATTTAGCCATCAATAAATATTTTAAATATCTTTTCTAGGACCCTTTTACGGCACTAGTTCTTAGTTATCATTTCTCGTAAGATTAGATGGCCGATTGGATTTTATAAATCTTTTATATTGAATCCCTTGTGAGATTTGAAAGAGGAGAGTAATGGTGCTGTAACATGTAATGAAAGTGCTGGAAAGAGTAGTGATTTAATCTGACATAACAAAACCTAACAAAATTCTTAATTCTTTCCGATTTTAGCAATTTTATAGTTGATCTTTGACAGTTTCAAAGACTAGTCTAATGGAGGATCATTAAGATCTTACAAGTCAAATACTGTTTTTGAATTTTTTAACAAACTTTTAAATGGGTTAAAGCTCCGTGAACGAAAAGTGCAGATTTACACTTTTCTTTTTGAGATCTTTTTTTGAATTTCCAGCGAATATGATGAATTTGGATTTTGGAATAGTTCTGACACAATAAACTCGAGAACTATTACATCTAATGAGAAAAGATCTTGTTAAGTTTTAAAACTATCCGATAGATGGCGTCGTATATTCAAATTTTTGGTCCATTACAACTAAAACAGGGAAACGATTATTTGAAGATTTTGGGAGTATTTAAATCTATATATATATATCTGCCAAAGCAAAGTACATAAAGTGGACCGGTGTCAAATAGTTTTCTATCATTAAAAATTCCTTTAAAATAAGGAATGAAACTGTCATAGGGTTAAAAACAACTCCTGGCAACTCTGTATTAATATAGTTTTTGTATGAGAGCATTTTTCTAGCAGCAAGAGCGATAACAAAAGAAAATGAGAAAAAGCCGAGAGAATGAAATACAAAATATATGTGATTGTAGATTTTCGTTAAGAGAATTGTTTGTAATTTTGAAATGTGTTTATTTTTGTTAGTGATAAAAACTACAGCTGGAAAAATATAAAAAACGTAGATATTTTGTATGACTGTGTAAAAGTATGGTGGTGGTAGTGGTAAATATTGAAAGAAGAATAAAATAAATAAACGATGAAAACAAAGCAAAAAGAAAGGAAAGGAAAAAAAATAATAGTATATAGTGGATGGAGGGATATATTACAACAAATATAGAAAAAGGGAATAATTTGTAAGAGTGAGAAAAAGCTGAACATAAAATAAGGGATAAAATCATTGAAAATATGAAATTATAAACAATTAAGCAACTTTTATAATTTTAAATAAATATTTAATTAAAAAAAAAAAATAATTAATTACCTTTAAATTTAGGGATAATAAATTTAAAATAATAATCCAATAATTTAAATCCATGTTTTTAGCGTGTTTAATCCAATATTTTAAAGGGTAATCCAAAAAGTGTGTGTAAAGTAATCCAAATTATGATTTTGTTTTTTTGTAGTTTAATTTTAAAACACTTTGTTTTTTATTTTATTAAAAAACTTTCACAATATGTAATTTATTTTGTATAAATTTTTTTCCACTTCTTTACAGAGATTTTCTCTTTTTTTGTGATTATATTTCTTTTTTTCATGTATTTATTTTATATTCCTTTTTTGTTTGTTATTTCTACATTATTTTGTTGTTGTTGTATTTGTGTAACTGTATGTATATCACGCTGCTGTTTATTTATTCTTTAGCTTGTTTTCACTACAAGCTGAGATATTTATTATCAATTTTGTTTTCAACGTTATTTCGTAAAATTTTTCTCAACTTCTTTTCTCTTTTTGTAAAATATCACACACTCTTACACGAATGCATTGCAATATTATTAATAATTTTTATATTTTGGGGGAAGTAATTTTTTTTTATTCAAAAACTTGTTTTTTTTTTTCATATAAACATTTAATTTTTTCTTAATTAATTATTTTTTTTAATCCAGTTTTCGTAAAAATTTTCCGGTACACGTCTTTTCAATTCAACGTTTCGCGTTGAAATGCTTCTTAGCATTGAGTTAATATGCTCGCCAGCAGATACATATGCTCAGTTAAATGGCTTTTTTGCCTGTATCTTATGTACTGCATATTTAGTATATAAGTAGCATTTTTTATATATAGTTTGTCTACCTAACTGAACACAGTACACACCACTCACTGTTTGTATATTTTTTCTATATACTTTTCAGTAGTATATTTAGGTAAATGAGTAAAATTTTTACTCTAGCAGAGTTATTGACTTTTTTCGTGGCCTCTAGATATTTCTATCTCTTTTACTTATTGGCGTTTTATAGAGGATTGAGTTTAGTTAGCTATCTCTTTCGTTTATTGCTTAACTCTCTTGTTTTGGTAAATTGAGTTGTTTGATTTTACTGTAAACTATTGAGTTTAATTTACAATTATCACTCATTCGTATGGAGTCAAAGACGAAATGTACTCTTTTAGTTTTCTCACTTTATTTCTGTTTTAATGTTTCACTATTAGGGCGCCAGTTACACTCATGCACACACATTTACTTAAACTCATGTAATCAAACACACAGATACTTTTTAAAACAACAACCAGGAGAGGAATATTAGCAACGTTGTCGTCGGTAGAGATGCGTTTTTATCGTTTTTACGACGAACCGTTTGTATTCGCTGTTGGATTTATACTAAAAGGTCTTGTATTTTTAATGGCCTGCCTGACTGACTGTCAGACTTTTATGTGCTGCGAGTGTATGTTTGTTACGAATGTATCTGTATCTGCTGGCTTTAGTTTGAGTGCTTGTTTCATTTTAGTCTGCTGCTTTTGTTGTTATTGTTGGTTTTTTTTGCATTCGTTGCAGTTGATTTTTATATATACATTCTCGTTATGTGCATATATAGCTTCAGACTTGTTATATATAAACATACTTACATACCCTCGAAGTTGTTTTATATACATACATACATCCATTTCATATGTATCTTCTCTTTACCTAACTACCTCTATCTACTATGTATCTACCTAATGCCTGTAAAGTTCAATTGAGTTTTATATAATCTGCTTTTCAGCTATCGTTGTTGCTTTTCTAGAATTATTATATATTCTAGAATTATATACTAAAAACATTTGCTTTTGAGGATTTTGTGTATTTTGTGTTTATTTACTTGTATTTATGTATTTAATTTTATTTGCTTTTTATTTTATTTTCCTATCCTTTATATACTAACTGCTGCACTCTTGCTGCTTCCCCTACTTTCCCTTTAGAGTTTTGAATACTTTTCCTTGTTTTTCGTTTTGATGTTTTTTTTTTTAAATCTTTGAAAACTTTTCAGACAAATGGTGGACAAATGTGTTTGTAGCTCTCACTGTTTTCAGCTCTTCCTTGCCTCAACCTATCAAATTGTTGTTTGCCTCAAATCCTTTGTGTTCCATAGATTCAATGAACTTTAAACTGAATTTTAACTTTAGCTCTATCTCCTTTACATACCCAAAATGTATAGCTATATACTAAGTTACTAAAAGTACTGTTTCCTTTTTAAGATTTTAAAAGTTAGATATTTTTTTCAAATTCTTTAAAGAATTTAATATATCACTCGTATATTGTTATTTATGGCAAATACGCGTGATATAGAAGTGAAGGAATAGGTATCCATTTTTGGTATAAATTAACCTAATAAAGTCTAAATAAGAAACCCTATGAGTTCTAATCATACTTCTTCAAATAAACATAAAATAAGCACTGCGAAGAGCCTTAGAGGGAAAGAGTTGCAAACTAGTTACCTATGGGGATGATGTGGAAATTGCAGTTATTTGAAATTTGATTCTGTCTTTAATCCAGCTAAAACAGAATTGGTACTATTCAACTTTAATATACATAACTTTAATAACCCTTACTGCAACTTCAAAAATCAAAGAAGTTGTGATAACACCAAATATTGGAACTTAACTGAGACCCAAACACATCATTACTAGACAACTGTTTCTTGATTAATTCTATATAAAAGAAATCTTCAAAGTTCTAACGTGCCTTGTGGATGGTTCCACTTAGTATAACTAGATCACTTATGGCTATTTCATCTAGAGCAATTTCCACAATCTTAAACTTGAAAACACCTCATATTCTGTCAAGATACTTAGCTGATAATTACGCAATACATCTGATATCTTGGGACTAAAACTGCCAGTCTTCCACCTGGATTTTACTACAGACATCACATAAATATTCACTGATAATTCAAAAGGAGAGATGTCAGATGTAAATGGGTCCCAATTAAGATAATACGCCTTTGTATGACAATACCTTCTTAAAAGTTAGCCATAACGAGAATTAGAGTGGAACATTTACTACAAATGTTAGTCTAAAGCAGGGATGTTCTCTATCACCTCTGCTCTCTGAAGTAGTTCTAGGCAACGTTATGTCCAATGTTTTCAAGAAGAATTGTCTGGAATTTACACCAACATTTTGAAGTTCTCGAATTCGCAAATGATCTTTGCCAAATATCCCAAAAGACAAAATTCATGTGTATGAACAACTCCATACAGGACAATCTATACTTTGACAACATGGAAATTTAATTCCAGGAATTCCTTAAAAGTTCGCCATAACGGGAAGTATAGTGGAACATTTACTAAAAATGTAGATCTAAAGCAATGATGTCCTCTATCATATCTGTTTTTTGTAGTTCTTGGCAACGTTATTTCCAAAGTATGGAAGAAACAAAAGGAATTGTCTCGAATTTCCACCGACATCTTGAAGATTTCGATTTCGCAGATGATGTTTGTCTTATATCCCACAGACACAGAAATAAGCGGAGCAAGGTCCACGATTTGGTCATCCATTGTGGAGATGTTGGTCTGACAATAAACCTCCAAAGTCAGAGGCCATATGAACAACACTATACAGGACAAACTATTGATAACATGGAAATTGAATTCCTGGAGAACTTTTGTTGTTTAGGCTGCATAATGTCAACACAAAGCGGTGTAGAAAAAGATGTAAGTTATAAATTTGGTAAAGATAGAGCTGTTTTCGGTCGGTTGAACATGACATGATGGAGAACACCACAGATATACACACAAAGTTGCGGTTATTCAAAACATGCGTGAAGCGAGACATAGCTTACATTAGTGGCAAAAATAGGAAATATCCAAACGACGATCAATAAATTTTTGCGAATTATATGAACAATTAGTAATACCGATTTATGGAGGAAATCAAATGAAACACCGAAAATTCAAACGCAAACTATCACAAGAAAGTAGAAATGGGTTAGCTTCGCAAAACCCTGAAAAGCATCACAATATATGCCTTGGAATGAAACTCTCATGTCAGTATACGAAAAGGAGGTCCTTAGAGTAAATGGCGCCGAACAATGCTGCTGGAGATTTGCGAAATCAACATGTCATTCAATGGTGTCGAAATACTAATTCAGGATAGAACAAGATGGAACAATATTGTAGATACCCTATGTTCCCAGGAGGAATAAAATGAAGGTAAATATTCGAAGGTACTTGAAAGTTTTTGGGTGTGACTCTAATGAATTAGTTACCACATATTGATAGAAAAATTACCATAGAATTCCAACAAAATGTGTATATCACATCGAAAGTTTCTCTAGAGTTTCGAATGTATCTAGTGGATATAGCGTCACATTTATAGTTCACGTTTACGATTTAACAAAGGAAGGCGTAAGAAGAGGATCTTAGACAATCCTTACCTCCAGACCCAATTCAGGCAGAAGTGTTGAAAACCCCGTTCAGACCGATTTCTGTTGCTTGGCTTTCGACGGTTTTGCATCTCAGTCGCTGTACTGCGATGTATTATTCGTAAAACATTTCATGTTATGCGTGCTTTCGTTTTGACTCAAATCGATGATACATTTTGATAGCTTTAATCTCAGTGTCCAAAGCTTCCAGCTTTCTATATGAATATATAGCTCGAATTGAGGATTTTTTTTCGAACTAATGGTGAAAACTCTGCTGTTTTGGTTATGTGCTTCAACCATTAATTTTTTAAATCCAAATAAAAGCTCCACCTTGCTTTCGGTATTCAAGTTTGAGTTGCGGAACAACTTGAATGTTATAAAAACTGTCTGATCGACAGCAAATCTTTGTCTTTCAACAGTTTTACGTTTCATTCGCAGTGCTGTAGTGAATTGTTATGTGTATGCGTTTCGTTGTTTGCATGCATTCGTTTTATCTCGGAGTAACTCGTTTTGACGATGAAATTTTATATTGATCTAATTCCCTGCAAAAATTATTGTAGTACATAATCCGTTTTGGTAATAAAATAACTACTCGCCTGTAAACATTATTGAAGTACATGACCCTTTTAGTAGTCCTATGTAATGCAGTAATGAATCATGTTTATTATTTTTGAAAACAACATGGTCCATAGCCTGCATTACATAGGACCATGTTGCGGGTCATGTGCTCCCATAATTTCAGCAAGGGACTAGTTTTGAATTACTCCGATGAAAGTGAATTGATGGATTTCGTGGTCCTCACCTAGGACATCACAATGTTAAATGGAGTATGTTTTTTCGATATACATACATATTAGACATATTAGTTTTGGACCACTCCTATTCCTTTGAGGAGTACTCTTTACACTCGTGTGAGGAGTAGTCTCAATTTTTGCAGGGAAGTGTGCTAAGGTTTTAGTTTTCTATATAAAAATATGGACCGATTAAAAGACTTAGAAGCAATCAACTAACCCTTTTTGTTATGCATTAATAATTCAAAAAAATTCACATTATTGTTAATAGAAAATGTAAAAATAAATTCGCTTGTTTAGAGTCCAGAAGAATCTGGCTCAGTATGGATAGTAGGGTCGACTTATTATTCTTATGAATTTGTCCAAACTTCACTTTAGAAACCTTATTGCTACTATATCACGTCACTGGCCTCTGAGCAAAGCAAAAAATAAAAGGAAGACTACTGGGTTTTTCCATCCGGCCATGGAAATTCTATGTTGGTTTTAAAAATTCTTAACGAACCAGAATCAGCCATCTTCAAAACTATGAAATTTGTAAGATTTGCCATTACTCGACCTCCAAGACTTTTTATTTTTTAAGTTACAGTTTCAAACCTTATGAACAATGTAAGAGCAATTCATATATTTTTCACTATTATCGTTTGATAATAAAATATTATTTTGCAATATTAGGGTTTTATTCATAAACTTTTATCAAAGATTTATAAATCAAATTGTTATACAAAATGTGTACTATAAACCTTTGATAAACGTTTATGAATAAGGCAGTATGTAACAATTTAGCCATAATATAACAATTTAAAATAAAAAAAACGTTTTTAAATTCACGAAATTCTTATAAATATCACGTTTTAAATACACACATCTACAGATTTAAAATATTCCGTGTTAATTCTAAGTGGAGCAATTTATTTTAATTGTTGTTTGTTGCTTCATTTAATGGCGCAAACGTGTAAGAGAGCAGCGGAAGTGAATCATGTTCTATTTAATTGTAATTGTGTACTTTGAATACTGGTTAATAGTTTTTTTATTTGCTGTATTTATTATCCATACAGTAACCGCAATTTTATAAAGAAAAACCACAGGCTCCAACCCAGAACTATCCATAGAACAACAAAAACAATATGAATGAAATTAAAGATTTTTTAAATTCATTAGAATAAAACCCTATT